CTCCAGGCTCTGAGCTGTCAGCACAGAGCCCAACGCGGGGCTCGAACTCACAAACCATGAGATCATGACCTGAGCTGAAGTTGGATGCTTAACTGACTGAGCCACCCAGGCACCCCAGTTCCAACAGCTTTTTGATGGAGTAGTTAAGGCTTTCTATATATACTAACATGTCATCTGCAAATAGTGACAATTTTACTTCTTTCCAATTGGTATGTTTTTATTTCTTTTTCTTGCCTAATTGCTATGGCTAGGATATAAATTTTAACTTTTTATGGTTTTAAAATGTTTAACAAATAAATATGTAAATAAGAGTTCTAATATTTTCTTTCTGTACTCTAGCAGATTGTTTTCTCTCCAATTCAAGGTTACTATTTTATTACATAGCTATGAATTGAATGCTTTGGTAGATTATTTTTAGAAGTGCCATACTTCAGTGTTTTGCGTGGCAGTAATGTCTGGCCCAACACAAACACATATGTACACAGAAGGATATTATGGGGGCGCCTGGGTGGCGCAGTCGGTTAAGCATCGACTTCTACAGCCAGTCACGATCTCGGGTCGTGAGTTCGAGCCAGTCAGGCTCTGGGCTGATGTCAGAGCCTGAACCTGTTTCGGAACTGTGTCTCCCTCTCTCTCTGCCCCTCCCGTTCATGCTCTGTCTCTCTCAGTCCCAAAAAAATAAACGTTGAAAAAAAAAATTTTAAAAAAGAAGTATAATTCACATTTGGAATGGATTAATAGATGAATTTATCAGATATAAAGTGTTTAAATTTTACACTATGCTAGTAAAATAATCTTTTTTCTTATTTTTTAACAGATATCAGACACCCTGAAGAACTTTCTCTCTTGAAAAAACCCAGAGATCCAACAAAGAAAAAAAAGCTAGATGACCAGTCTGAAGATGAGGCACTTGAATTGGGGGGCCTCACTCCTGGATCAGGTGAGACTTTGACTGAGCAAAGGCTCAGTGTGAGAACCATAGATGTGTCTGTATACTTATGTCTTTCTGACAAACGGATTACAAAGGTCAGAAACAGTCAAGTTTAAAAAACTCACCTTCAGCATTTTTTTCTCTCAATCATGAAATCACCACCAGGGAGGGTCTGTCATGTGTAGATCATGTCAGGTGTTAGTAGTTGCATCAATAAAAAGGAAGGCTGGTTCTCTGCTCAGGAATAGTCAAAAGGGTGGTGCTTGGAAGCCTGGGGTGGCGCCAGTGATTCAAACTTTAGCCAGGTCGATCTCGCGGTCGTGAGAGTTTGAGCCCGCGTCGGGCTCTGGGCTGATGGCTCAGGAGCCCACTGGGCAGGGCCTAATTCTGTGTCCTCTCTCTCTGCCTCTCCCCGTTTCGTGTGGCTCTGTCTCTCTCTGTCCCAAAAATAAATAAACGTTGAAAAAAAAAAGGGGGGGGGGCAGTGCCTTAAGTGGGCTCAGTTCTTTGCACTGCAGAAACCAGCAGTTTTGTAGTATTTAGCTCCTTTTTTCCTGTATTCTTTGAAAACCACGATTACTTAGTTAAGATATTACTTTTGCCAGGTTACTTAAAACTTCTGTGCTTTGCATATGCTGATTCCTTTGCCTTTCCACCTTTTTCCTTTATTAAGGCTTTGCTCCTTTAAGAAGCTTTCTCAAATTTCCTTCCATTACCTCCCCAACCTGAGTTAGGCATCCTTCTATCTTAAGTCACTGGACTTCTCTGTGTTTGGTGTTATATTGCATATTTTTACCTAATAATTGTGAGTTCCTTGCATGATGGAACTGTCTCTCACGTGTTTGTTACCAGAACCTAACTCAATTATGTGGCATCTAGCAGGAGCATAGGCAGTGTCTTTTGGGTAGCTAGATGACCAATTAAATTACATGGTTCTTCAGTTCTGGGCATGTGCAGAGACTGGACATTATAGTTACCATAATGAACTGAATTCGTTAAATCACTTTATTCTTGGTTTTTAAAAATTCTGGGGTGATAACAATAATGAAAACAAACGATTTAGTGCTTAGTGTATGCCCATTTTATACATTATGCTCATGGAAATTTACTTTAGCATATTTTATTTGAGGAAACTCACTTAATTCTCACTACAGCTCATTGCAGATTATATTATTACTCATTTTAAGGTTGAAGAAATGGCACAATAAGGTTAGGAATGTCTAAGGTCATGTAACTTGTAACTTTTATGTCTTTATACATGTACTGATTGGCACTTAGGAGATACCAAAAAATAAGACCGTTCTTATAAGTTTATAGGCTAATTGAAAAACATGGTTACTGTACTTTAGGAGGTAATATATAAATGTTGTAGCAAATAGTGTTACAGGAATTCGGAAGGCAAAACAATTCCAAATAGGGTATATTTAGTTATAGGTTGGGAAACTGAGTTTGTGACTTCAGCTTTTAAAAAGTTCCACTGACTAGGATTTTGATGGTAAGAAACAGCAATCCAAGCAGAATGATATTGACAAGGAACACTTTGGCAAAAGAATAGTACACGATGTGAATAATCCAGCTGAGCCAATTCATGGGGAAAGACCTGCAAGGAACTTCAGGATCACACTGGAGGGTATTTAATGTCAGGCTGAGGAATTTAGACAGTGTATTATAGAGTCATGTTACAAAATAAATAATTTTAGAATATCAAACTTATATCCAGTCATATGTGGAGGAGGGAATGAAGGGAATAGAGTTGTGACTAGTGGCAAGAAGCCTACAAATTGAGGAGGTAGTGTGTCTTTCATTAGAGTAAGGTTAATTCTAAAATTTGATTTATGCATGGTGATTTATATTGCTGAAGGCATCTGATGGTAGACATCATCCCTGCTTTCAGTTTATAGTGAATGTAAGTGGGACTAGGTAATGTGGGCTCATTTTTGTTTTTTGCTTTGTTTTGTTGGAGGTGTTACATACAGTAAACTGGAGAGATTTTAAATTACAGATGAATATTTACAGATGTATACTCCATCTAGTTTGTATGCTTTTTTGATTTGTCAGGATCTTAGTTCATTATTGGACCAAATACTGGAAAATATGGTCACTTGCATACTGTGTCTGTAATAAATAGCAACAGGTCGATGTATCTCAATACATGACATCTTCAGGATGTCAGACACTATGCTTCACAAGAATTTCTCTACGGCAGGTGTGGTAAGGATTAGATAGACTCTTCAGGCTCGGTTTAATACTGCATACTTTTTGAATTATGAGCATCTCAGTGTGAGCATGGTCAATAATTCTATATATACTCGATAAATGATAACTGTTATTTAATACATGCTTTATCTTTCATTTGATCCTCAAAAATCCCTGTGATTTTGGTGGTATTATCCTCATTTTACTTAAAAGGAAAGAACCCGACAAGAGTTACATGATTTGCCCAAGCTTATAATAAGGGGCAGAGCTAGAATTCAAATCCAGACTTGCTGGCTCCCGACATTCATGTTTCTAAGCGTTACATAATATCATCTCTCCACTTACAATATTTGAAATAAATATTGTGAATAGTAATAGGAATGTTTGGTAAAATATTAACACGTAAATTATACTTCAACAAGGCTAAGTTTTTTTAAAAATAATGTTCCAAGATTTAAGTATCATGAGTGAATTCTCAGACTTTAGTCAAATTCTTACACAGAATTATAAAATTTTATGAGTTTTTAAATGCCTTGCTCATACAGCTATGCTCAGATGGCATGTTCTTGAGTGCTTCACCACTTCCTAGCCGTAAGAAGGAAAATAGCAGATCTCTAATTTTCTATGAGGGAGGGAACACACTGAACTAGCCTGATCCCGGGTCTGGGGAAGATTTTTTCCAAGTAAGAATTCACTTTACAGTATAGTACTGACTTAACAGATTACTAATTTAAGATTTACTATGTAAATAGAAATAGAAATAGAAAATTATCTCATTAGAAACTTTTCTTAAAAATTTTAGCTCTCTTCCCAGTATCTCACCACTGTGTCGGTGCAGGTAGGGGATTGAGCTCGAGCTAGCTCGAATAAAGGCTATTTTGCTTTTGCATCGGGGAAAAAAAAAAAAAAAAATTTTTTTAAAGGCAGCTTAGAGAAAGGAAAATTCTGGGTCCTAAAATATACAGAAATTAATCAATACTTCACTTGTTTGGCACTGTTAGGAAAATCACTTAAGCAAGATGCCATTTTTCCTATTTGGAGCTTGCCATTTTAAGCACTAAGATACTTAATTTTTTTTAATTTTTATTTTTTTAGCAAACTAAATTATTAAATTTGCTCACTTAAACAATAGCTGCCTTTTCCTGAAAATATTTATTAAAATATGTAGGAAAGGCCTTTATTGTAACTAAAAGTGCCCAAATATAATAGGTCCCATGCTATAATAGTAATGTTTACAGTATATTTTTCACACTTGATATTTCCATTGATTCTTCATGTTCTGCAATTGTAAGATAATTTCACGTGTTTAGTTTTCTTCCTATTCCAGGAGATTTGTGTTGAAATTTTTTTTCACTATTAAAAACAAGTGATTGTCTGTGGGACCTTTTCAGCTTTGTATGCCGGTTTTGGAACCAGATCTGGATTCTCTTGTTCTAGGTTCAGTTTTTGAGCTAAGTCTTCTCCAATATCAATGCCAGGATAGCAGTTTACTCTGAAGACATTTTCCAACACTTCAATCTGGTTTTGAGTTAACAGCCTCTATACCAACTCAGCTTTTTTTTCAGAGTCTTTTTGAGGCTGAAAAGTAATTTTCATATTTCAAAAATCTTTCTTCTGGCACTGGGTGATCCACAGTACAAGGGAAATGAGCTCTCATTAGGAAGGCTCAGATGTGTAGACACAGGTGAACATCTTTTGTTGAGGAGCCACAGGTGTCTGCCCAAGCCTGTGGAGTTTCATTGATGGAACACAGTCTTTCTTCTGGTCCAATCCTAAAATGTTTCCAATTAAAAAGGAGTAGTGTGAGGGTTTGCTTTCCCCAAGCCAAGCACCTTCTTTGAGGCTGGGAGACATCCTCGCATGGGCTGCACAGGACAGCTCTGGCTTTTGCTTGCCTCTTGGCTGACTGCCCCATGTGTACAGGGCTGAAGTCTTCATGTAGTTCACTTTATGGTTCCCCAAGGTATTTTTTTAAACTGTTCTTTAATTATAAAAATAATGTATGCTGAGTGTAAAAATTCAAATATTATAGAATTATGTATTCATTTTTGTTTTTAATGAAAGTGGGACTGTGTTATACATTTGTTTTTTTTTTCATACTAGCAAAATACATTTATTATTTTATAATGATAAAAGAAGGAGAGTAAAGATTTCTTTTTGGTGTATACCAGAGTTAAGGGCAGGAGGAGGATAAGGGGATTAATAGGATTTTTATGTACTTTGATGACAATAGAAAGTTAACAATACCAACTGGTTGCCATAAAACTTCTAGCTCCCCCAAAACACATATATAAAGGATCATAGTTTTAGAATCTGTTAAAGTAAAAAATACACACTCAGAAATAACGCTTATTTCCTCTTTAATATAAAATTGTAAACATTTATTTACACAAAGCAAACGTGTCTAACAAAATCCGAGCACCCTTTTCTGGTGAGTCATGGCTCCTGGAAGAGGGATTTGCACTGAAGCGGAGTCTCCTGCTCTGACTACCCAAAAACCAGATTCATAAATAAAGCCACGGGCAGCTCCCGAGGGGGTGGGGGTGGGGTGTTATACATTTGTAACTTGTGTTTTCTCACGTGGTGATAATGTACTCATGGATCTTATCTTCCTTTAATTACAGAATTCATACAGTCTCGTTATAAAAAAATTGCAATAGTACAGAAAATGAACTGAAGGTGAAAATTCTGCTTCAACTTACTCCCTTACTGCTCCCTCTTAAGAAGTAGCCATTTCTTGATTGCTGTGTGACTGTGTTGTAGACAGTTGGAGCACAACTTGCCAGTACCTTTTCTATGTGATATACTTGCGTGTCTCATTTTGTTTTTATAACGTGAATGGTAGCCTAGTATGTATTATGTGTTGTTCTTCCGTTTGAGTTTTTCCATTAAACAGTGTTTTGGTCATCTTTCTGTGTTGGAGTAAAAGGTCTCCCCAGTTTAGTATAAATAGTGCCAAAACTTTCCATGTAGAAAATGTATACTGAACTGTTTCTCTGCTCCAAAAAGTTTCCCAGAAATTCAAACATATTCCAAAAAAGAGTGTAAAAGTAGTAGTTTTACACTCCCATCAACAGCACATGAAAATGGCCCTTTTCCTACCTTCTGCCTTATATTCAATGTTGTAAATCTTTACTGAATTTTACTAATATGACAATAAAGAGTATCTCAGAATTACATTTTTATTAATTTCCCTGATAAACACTAGTATGAATAATAGTTGAATAATGTACATTAGACATTACATTTTTTTCTATTAGTTTCAAATCATGGACTTTATCCATTTTATTTATATTTTTGTTTTACTGATACACTAATCTTTTGGTATCTTAGATATTTTCCCTATACTAGAATTTTTTAAATCTTCTTTGTGGTCTTTTTTACTATGCCAAAGTTTTACATTTTTACGTAGTCAAATTTGTTGTTTATAGTTTGGGGTTTTTCACTCTTGGTTAAGAAAATCTTCACAAGTACTATAACAATTCTTCTACATTTCCTTTTTATGCTTTTATGTAATTATTTCATATTTATATATTTTAATTCCTGTAATGTCAACATTTTTATTTTTAATTTACCTGAAATTTGTTTTCTAAGTATGGTATGAGGTTGATATTTTGATAAGAAATTATCTAAAATGTATTAAATTCTTTAGTACTCTCTTTTAAAAAAGAATGTATAAGAATATAAGTTATACTAACCAAGTTATGAGACAGATTCTAAAGTTAACATAGGGTTTTTAATGTTTATAGTAAGTGGCCCTAAAATGTAGTGCTTGTTGAACTTTGTCTCCTCCTTACTGTTTTTGTTATCATACCACAAAATTCAGCAAACTCCCATTTTATTGCTGACTAAATATGTTGCTTCATCTTGCCCTGTAATAGCTTTCTGCTTCAAGTAAGTTTTATTTATTTTTTTCAAATATGTTTAAATCGGGCAATCAGGAATTACAGGGTAGTTGGGATTGTCACTGAACTGAGACTTAGAAGGAGTGTAAAATGCACATATATCCTCTGTCCCAGCAGTGTTGATAGAATTAGGAAATAGGTACAAACACAACTGTTGCAAGGCATTTGTTTGCAGTAGCAGTAGTGAAGTCAAAATTCTAAACAAATAAATGCACACCAATTGGAAATGGCTTAAATAAGTTATGGTGCCCAGGAGGCAGTGTGTATAGCTTCAATCAGACTGGCTGATTTATAGCTTGGCTCTGAAACTTAATAGCTTTTGACATTGGACAAGTTACCTAATCTCTCTGTGACTCCATTTGCTCCTCTAAAATGAGAATAATAGGATTGTTGGAAACACTAAATGAGTTATGACTGTGGAGTGCCTAACAGAATAAGAATAGGAACAACGAAGTGATCAAATATGAAGTGTAGAATATACAAAGTATAGGAAATTGAGCGGGAAGAGAATCGATTGGGTGGCTGATTCCATTAAATGTTGTGCGACTTAGGGGAATATATTTCATTTTAGAAACTTCATGAAGAAAATTGTCAATTCTAACTTTAATTCTGAATCGTAATTACAGTCCATCATACTAGGAATGAATTTTCAATATTCTGACATTCCTAGTAAAGGGTTTATTTTGCTAGATCTTTGAAATACACAGTGAGAAGATTTTGCCTAGAAGATAATGTTTTCCTATCCCTTATACGTATATGCTCTAGCAGGATTATTCTTTGCCAAGCTGAGCTGGAGTAATGTTTTCAGCCCCCACCCCCCCGCCTTTTTTTTTTAATGTTTTTTAATGTTTATTTATTTTTGAGAGAGGGAGAGTGCAAGCAGGGGAGGGCAGAGAGAAAGGGGGACACAGAATCTGAAGTAGGCTCTAGGCTGTCAGCACATAGCCCGATGTGGGGCTTGAGCTCACGAACCGTGAGATCATGACCTGAGCCGAAGTCGGACGCTCAACCGACTGAGCCACCCAGGCACCCCTGTTTTCAGCCCTTTTAATAAGTATGGGTGCCCAAGTAGTAACCCTTTCACAAAATGCTGTTGTAGTTTTAAAGTTCTAGCTTTTAAGGATATCACTCACTAATCCAGTGTTCTTTAAAGCTAAAAAGGAGAGTTGACAGCTTTCTTTGTTGCTTATTTAACAACATTTAGATTCTGCAAGTTGCTTTAGTCACTAACATTGAAGAATACCTACTGGGGACATCAAATCAGATACCCTGTGGCTAGCAAGATTTTTTTTTTTTTTTTTCCTTTGTGTTCTTTTCCTAGACTAGGTCATGACAACTACAAAAATCTCTAGCATGGTCACCAATTTTTCATAGGTAATTTTTTCTATCATTGTATTGGGGTGAGGTGGTAGGGAGGGATTGTTAGAGTGGAAAGGAAATTCCTAAACATATTCCTAAATTAGGTAAGGGAAACAGCCATTCTCTTTCCATCATCCATTAACAGTGTGATACTTATTTACACATTTTTTAATTATGAAGACAAAATATAATGAACAGAGTTAGGACTTCAAGGGGAGGTGCTTTTACTTAATGCCATTCTGAACTTTTTGTTTTTTAAGTCTTAATTTTATCTCCTTAATTTTTATAATTTAGATGATAGAGGATATATTGTCAGTTGATTTAATTCAAGTTTTTATTTATGTAGCCGCTACTTTGTGTCTGGCCTACTGAACACTGAGGAATTGGAAGATACAATATCCCTGCCTTCAGGGGCTTAATTATAAAATGTATCTTTGTTAGCAAAATTTTATCTACCCCTTTGCTTTAATACTTTATTTATAAATCTGTTGGAACCAGTTTAGCTGTTCAATAAGAAAACATTAACATAAAATTGTTCTCTTAATTTATGTGCATTTATTCAATTACATTGAGTTCTTAGAACAAGGTATGGATTTCAAAGGGTGATAAATGTGGATATGTTTGTCCCTTGACACTTGAGCACAATTTCATTCTTTTGATTGGACAAAAACATTTATTTTACAGTTAGGTTACAGTTTCTAAGATTCTTTACTCTTAAATTCATTTGAAATACTTAACTTTAGTTTATGATTCATATTAGGAAAAAATCTGTTGTTTTCTTTTTCCCATTTCCTTTTCCTTTTCATTCTTTGTTTCTGTCTTCTATTGTTGCCTTTCCTTTATCTTCTGAATTCCTTTCTTTCCTTTCCTATAGGCACTGATGTTCTTTACATTGGCCCTCTGAAAGGTGAGCCTTGCCACAATTAAAAACAAAAACTTGGTCTGTCTGCTTCGGCTATATCCTTAACTTGTCTTCCTTCTAATTCTCTTGAACTGATTTTTTCCCCCAGATTTTCTGCCAACTTAATTATATTCTTTTGACCTTGTTATTACGTGTTCTAATGTTATATAAGTAAAGTTAATTTTACATGTTTTCAAGACAGGTAAAATAATGCACTAAGCTTTCCTTCCAGAATGAAGCTTTTGTTTCACAATTTGCTTTATATCATCGTAGTATGTATTACTGAAAACTAAGATTCTGTGCTTCATACTTACCACCTGTTTTTCATGTTATTTATTAGGAAGTATATATTCAAGCCCAGGACTTTATAGTAAAACAATGACCCCCACTTACGACGCTCATGATGGAAGCCCCTTGTCACCAACTTCTGCTTGGTTCGGTGACAGTGCTTTGTCAGAAGGCAACCCTGGTATACTTGCTGTCAGTCAGCCAGTCACATCACCGGAAATCTTGGCAAAAATGTTCAAGCCCCAGGCTCTTCTTGACAAAGCAAAAATCAACCAAGGGTAAGTTTTAAAATGCAGATATGTTGAAGAATTTCTTTCTCCAGTGAGAGGTAGAGATACTTTATTAATCTTGTCTTGCTTTGTTCTAATGCCCTCGTTAATCTGTCCAGGTGGCTTGATTCCTCAAGATCTCTCATGGAACAGGATGTGAAGGAAAATGAGGCCTTGCTTCTCCGATTCAAGTATTACAGCTTTTTTGATTTGAATCCAAAGGTACCGAGGGTTTTAGAGGGATCTCTTCTTTTTTTTCTTTTTGTTTTGTTCATTTGGATGTTTGGTTTTTGCAGTTGGTGGGGTTAGGAATCATTTATATATAGCAAGTCTGAATAATATTAAAAGCCTAAGCTTTAGACAAAGGCATCTATATTTGAAATAATTCTATTGTGTTAGTAAGTCGGAAGCATAATTAAACCTTTTTCTTTTTTGTTAAAATAATTGAACTTTTGGTTGATTTGTATTTTTAAAAGCACTAGCTTGGTACTACAGAATTGGTAAAGTTAGTTTTAGGGTTGTTTTTGTTTTGTTTTTTTAACACTTCTCTTCAGCTGTGCTTTTTGTAAAAGAAGATTTTCCTGAAATAGTACCTTTTAAATGACTTTCAGATTTCTAATTATAAATCAAAAGATGTTGCTTAAAAATTATTTAAGCTTACATTTCTTCCTATTTAATAGCCAAACTTTGTAATATGTTTTTAGTATCAAATGATTGTATCACTTTGCTTTTCCTAGAAGAGTTAAATTTGCTATGAAATCTCAAGTATTTTTCCCTAGAATACATATGGCACAGAGATTTGGATCTTTTGCTTCCTTATTTATCATCCTTGGGAGGAAGGGAACCTCTCTTGACTACCTCTCATCCTTTTCATGTCTAGATTAGTGTCTAGATTTTCATTATATAGTTTTCATTTTTTATTACGTGCTTAAGTAATTCTTTATTGTAACTGTAAAATGTATATATTGGAACTATAAAAATAATTTTAGTCCCTTTTAGGTCCTATCATGTCTCATTTTAGTAAAACCAAAGTTGTTTTAGGAACACAGTTACATTTGCTGGGGAAGGGGATGCTACGTATTGTTAAGACATTACTATTAATTTTTCTTAATGTAACTAAATGGATAATTCAGCAATATATAAATAAATCTTCTCCACAAGTACAAATATGTACTCTCTTATTTCAGATTCTTAAAATAATTGCTCTTTACAAGGACCTGACACTTTGTCTAAGCATGCTTTTCCTTAGTGAATAAGATGTTCCCTAAAATAATTTACTCTCTGATTATAACATTTTAGTGTGGCAGGTTGCAGTACCAACACTGAAAAGCAGTCACTTTTACCCTTTAAATGTCTTTCAAATCAGATTCATTTTCTTAAGAACTCTGGAATATCTGATGATTGTTTCCCTGTAAAATAACACAGAATCTATTTCTAATATTGGATAGTAATGTTTTGGACATCTCAGTGTTATTTTTAATGGAAAATTAGATGTGGGTATGTATAGACATACTTAACCCTGTAAGTATCGTTCTCATTATTGAGTATTTGATACTAAATAAAAATCCCAGGGAAAAAATGTATATTAAAACTTTTTTTTCCAAGCGTTGAATGTGAATATTCAGTTTTCGAGTTATTTTATGTTAAAGGTGATGTATTACAAAAGGATTATGTCTCTTTTGCTGCAGTATGATGCAATCAGAATCAATCAGCTTTATGAGCAGGCCAAATGGGCTATTCTCCTAGAAGAAATTGAATGCACAGAAGAAGAAATGATGATGTTTGCAGCCCTGCAGGTAGTGGAGAGTATTGGTAAATGGGATTTTTCAATGGAAAGGATAGGAGATTATTTTTAAATAGTAAAGTTGCATTGTAATTCCAGTAGCATTTTGATAGTGTTTGCTTTTTGCTGTGTTGAAAATGAATATACACTTAGAAGGCAAAGTAAGTACATGAATTTAACTTTTTGTCTTTTCAGAGTTTAGTGGTATATAATTCAGCTATTTTTTTTGTATCCTATAGAAGAAAACTATTCTCCCACCCCAGATATATATTAGTTTAAAACTACCCCATTTTGCTTTAGAAATAAGATCTACATTGAAAATCCCATTTCTAAAATGAAGCTTATTACTTGCATAATTTCCTAAGTAGCTGGGGCTGATAATATTTTTTAAGTGGCTATAGCAAAAATAATACATTTTAAAGGTGATAAATTTTAATGGACTACTGAAACAAAACATAAATTAGTTTTCAGAATGATAATCCTTAAGGTGTAGTTAGGGGCACCTGGGTGGCTCAGTCGGTTAAGTGTCTGACTCTTGATTTCAGCTCAGGTCATGATCTCACAGTTCATGAGATTGAGCTCCACTTCAGGCTCTGCGCTGACGGTGCGAGCCTCCTTGGGATTCTGTCTCTCCTTCTCTCTCTGCACTTCCCTTGCTCACAGGCACACGGCGCTCCCTCTCTCAAAATACATACATTTAAAAAAAATTTTTTTTAAGTAGGTAATGTTTTCCTTAGATTAAACCAGTGTTTTCTTGAGTGTTTTCTCAACTGTAGTTCTTGCATACCAACTTTTTAAGAATACAGTAGTGCTTATATTTTCAAAAATTTCCCCCTTTAGTAAAATAACATTAGGGAGGCATCCACAGATCTGCCTTCTTAGAGACACTGGGATCCAGCTGACCACAGATTAGTCATTCTTACAGTTCACATAGTTGAATGAGGCTTTGGTGAATGTTCTCAGATTATGGTAGAATTCTGGTTTTGCCAGAAGTCCTGACAGAATTAGTGTTCTTTAAGTACAGGAAGCAAAGTTGACATTTACTTATTAAAAGCTTTCACTGTAAAAAGGATTTTATTTTCTTCTCTTTAGAACACAAATAAAAATGCTCCCAGTCTTCCAAATGCTTTTATGCATCCAGGAAGGTTTTCTGGTTAAGACTTAAAAAATTGTCCTATTTACAATGGAAGAAAAGCTCATTTCTCCTTAGTTTATATGATAAAAGAAGGGAGTCGAAACAAAGCTTAAACAAGGAAAATCTTTGATGGCAGATAAATTAGTTTAGGTAGAGACTTGTTTAATCAGCTAGTTAAGAATCTTCTATTGTGTTTTTGGATAATTCAGACTATCTGAAGAATTTCGTGAATTAAATTCTGGAGTAATTTTGTTCAAAGTATCTCACTTTGTTTATAGTTTTCTACCTACATCTTTCTCACTTAGAATATAGGCTTATAATTTTCTAGTGACGGCTTTGCCAATGACAGAAGAGTAGTACATATAAAATGTATATGGGGGAAAATCACAGACTTATTATATAGTATTTATCTTTTTATTATAAAAATAATGCACTTTTTAAAAAACCAACAGATACAGACGTACCTATGAGTGCATAGTAGGTGCTGAAAAAAATTTGCTGAGTGAGAATATAGTTGACCCTTGAACAACACAGGCTTGAAATGCTTGGGTCCACTTATGTGCAGATTTTCTTTGATAAATACATTACAGTAAATGTATTTTCCTTACATTTTTTTCTCTAACTTTATTGTAAGAATAAGTATATACATATATAACATACAAAATATATGTTAATTGTTTCTTATTGATAAAGTTCTGGTTAAGAGCAGACTATTATTAGTAAGGTTTTGGGAGATTCAGTGCCCCTAGCCTCCATGTTGTCCAAGGGTCAGATAGACACACACAGTTGTATTTTCACAGAAATAGGATCATTTCATAGCTTTCCCTCACCCAGTGTACAGTAGACAGTCCATTTTAGTGCAGTAGAAAACACTTCAAGATGTGAATTTTAATTTGTGGACACAATGTCCTAAAGCATCGCTCTCCTGAACCATTTTAGAATCTAGATTTATTATTATTTTTTTATGTTTATTTTTGAGAGAGGGAGGGGGAGAGAAAGAGGGAGACAGAGAGTCTGAAGCAGGCTCCAAGCTGTCAGCACAGAGCCCAGCCTGGGGCTCGAACCTACAAACCGTGAGATTATGACATGAGTCAAAGTCGGACACTTAACTGACTAAGCCACCGAGGTGCCCCTAGAATCTAGATTCTATAAGAAAATTTTGGACTACAAATCCTGAGTTCTTAGAAGCCTTCCCAGAAATTGAACCAAAGGCTCTAAGAATCCATCCAGTACAGAAGGGGGGAAACTTTGAAAAAATGGGAAAGAAATGCCTATTCTTTTTATTTTAGACAGTCTGCACTCTGAACTTGGGGCTTCTGGTTCCCTGTGTAACGTAAATCTACAATAGTAAAAGGAAACAAAGTAAGGAGGAGTGGATCAAAAACAGAAAGGTTAATAACACTGTTTTTAAAGTATTTGGGTCCAAGTCTGTATTGTAACATTTAAAAGATAACCGATGCACCTCTGAAAGCAAAGCTGGGGTTTTATGACCATTCCCGTTCATAGCCAGGGTTTCTCCAGTATAACTTAAAAGGACTTTCTGCATCAGAATCACCTAAGTCACTTAATAAAAATTGCAGATTCTGGGCTGGACTCCAGATTTGCTAAATTAAAATCTCTGTCGGGTGAACCTAAGAATATGTATTTTTAACCAACTCTCTTGACGATTCTTAATGTTACCGACATTTGAGGCAACTTCCTGAGGGCCTCAACCTACCACATTCTCCATGATTTGTGAACATGGAAGTTTCTATCACTGGAGGGATCTCATTTCAGCACAGCTGAAGGTATAGCCAGAGACTATTCATTATCAATTCACTAATCTTAAAATACAGAGGAACACTGACAGTTAGCCTCAGATTAGTTCATTCAGTGTTCCCATGAATAGATCCTATTCAATGAATGAATACTTTAGAAATTTGGAGTGCTACTTAATGCTTTGAAAGGAAACTGATTAGGGGCACCTAGGTGGCTCAGTCGGTTAAGTGTCAACTCTTGATTTCAGCTCAGGTCTTGATCTCATGATTCATGGTTCAAGCCCTAGTTCGTGGGTTCGAGCCCCACATCGGGTTCTGTGTTGACATCGCGCAGCCTGCTGGAGATTCTGTCTTCCTCTCTCTGCTCCTCCCCTGCTCGTGCTCACACACGCACGTTCTCTCTCTCTCAAAATAAATAAACTTAAAAAAAAAAAAAAAGAGAGGTAACTGATTAAATGATTCAAAAGTTCTACTTACCTTTGTGTGAAACCTCTGTAAGGTTTAGCATCAGAATCTAATAGATTATTAATATTTGTTCTAAGTGACTGACCTAAATATATTTAAAATCATTACTAGTTTTTCTTTATGTAAAGATTTTTCTAGCTGCATACGGAGTATTTACCACTACTCTGGTATATATACACAAATATGCATGTGTGTGTTGTTCACATATAAATGTAATCCATCTTATCATTGTTACGTAACTGAGATATAAACATCATCTTCCTCTGATCATGTTTTCAGCACTGAATTGAGGCTGGGGGGCCGGGGGAAGAAGGGCTTTAGCTTTCAACTAATTTTTTTCTGCAGGGTAATAATAGTAACACAAGGTAATCAATGTTAATATATTTTTACAAAAAACCTGATGCATATTCTGTTAATTCATTCAGTATTCATTGGTTCTAGGACCTGTTCTAGACACAAGGAATACTGCAGTGGGGAGAAAAGAGTAAAAAATCTCTGTTCATGTGGAGCTTAGTGGACAACCTGTTAACTCTAAGTCCTAGGGCTTCCCAAACTAAATCATTTTTATATATCCTGGATAAATATTTATTGGGATGTTTAGGACACTGATTGTAGGTGCACTGCCATTTATTTTCCTATTCTAGTTCTTGGACACTATATCTTTTCAAGTTAGGTGATGAAAAGCTTTCAATATAGATGCGAATAGTGATCTCATTTTAAAGTTTTACTAGTTACGGGGCGCCTGGGTGGCGCAGTCGGTTAAGCGTCCGACTTCAGCCAGGTCACGATCTCGCGGTCCGTGAGTTCGAGCCCCGCGTCAGGCTCTGGGCTGATGGCTCAGAGCCTGGAGCCTGTTTCTGATTCTGTGTCTCCCTCTCTCTCTGCCCCTCCCCCATTCATGCTCTGTCTCTCTCTGTCCCAAAAATAAATAAACGTTGAAAAAAAAAATAAAAAAAATAAAAAAAATAAAGTTTTACTAGTTAGAACAGACATTTAAATAAAATATCATTTCTGTTTTCAGTATCACATCAATAAGCTGTCAATCATGACATCAGAGAATCATTTGAACAACAGTGACAAAGAAGTAGACGAAGTTGATGCTGCTCTTTCAGACCTGGAGATCACTTTGGAAGGAGGGAAAACATCAACAATTTTGGTATGGTGAATCTTTTTCTCTACTAGTTTAGTTTGAATTCTTACCTTTTTGTGGATTTAATGCTTTAGAGAACACAGGTGTTGACTTATCAGAAACTTTCAGGGAAAAATTTTAAATTAATATTCTAGTCTCTAGGATACAGTAAAGATAGATCTTGAGATATCTGCACATTCTCTCACAAGCAGTGGAAGAACATTTCTGCAGAGTAAAAGGTAGAGTGAAGTCATGGTAACATCCATTCAGTGAGCTTCACATTTAAAATGTTACAAAAAGAGAAAAGCAGATCTTGGGAAAAATTTTTAAATGCTAAGTTTAGTTTTAAAGCTTAGGAATTAGTTGTTACAGAAGAAATACTGACCTAAGGGCTGTTAGGATTTTATAAAATTTTCATGTGCAGATGTAAACAATTTTAGCTAAATTAGAATAATATGTTCTTGTAGGTTATATGAACTGCCATTTTGATCACATTTTTTATTAGCTTTGTATGCCACTTAAAAATGACTTTGTGGGGGCGCCTGGGTGGCGCAGTCGGTTGAGCGTCCGACTTCAGCCAGGTCACGATCTCGCGCTCCGTGAGTTCGAGCCCCGCGTCAGGCTCTGGGCTGATGGCTCAGAGCCTGGAGCCTGTTTCCGATTCTGTGTCTCCCTCTCTCTCTGCCCCTCCCCCGTTCATGCTCTGTCTCTCTCTGTCCCAAAAATAAATAAAACGTTGAAAAAAAAAAATAAAATGACTTTGTGGAGTGCCTGGGTGGCTCAGTTGGTTAGACTTTTGGTTTCAGCTCTGTCATGATCTCATGGTTCATAGGATTGAGCCTCACATTGGGGTCTGCGCTGACAGCGTGGAGCCTGCTTGGGATCCTCTCTCTCTCTCTCTCTCTCTCTCTCTCTCTCACAAAACAAACTTAAAAAAAAAATGGCTTTGTACATATGACCATACATTATGATTGTACTTTTAAAACCTTAATAATCTGTATGTTATGTAATTTTGTTTATTGAATAAACTGATACTTGATGGCAGATACTAAATATTAGAGTTTCAAATTTCAAGAAAAATCAGAAAAAAAAAAATGATTTAATTCTTTCCCTAGGGTGACATCACTTCTATTCCTGAACTTGCTGACTATATTAAAGTTTTTAAGTAAGTACAAAAGGGGAGGAATTCCAAATATTAATGAATGACAAGTATCAATTTTGTAGTCACATTCATGTTGGAATTTACTTTAGCATATGCATTATGAATTATGAGAGAAAATAACCATCTTTACCAAATTAAAATTGCAGTACTCATGAGTTGTTTTATCTGATAAACATTTTTCTTAAAGGGGAAAAGCAAAGATTATGTAACCTAGATTGCATCATGTAGGCTGAAACATACAGTGGCATTTTAGTATAAGCCATCCCCTCCGGGTGAAAGCAGGACATAATGAACTATTATTGCCAGCAGTTATTTCCTTGTTCAGAGCCCCAGATTCTATTGAATTTTATTGATTTGTTCAAGGCATATTTTATAATAAGGTTTTTGTGTATCTTATCTAGACTTTTATCAATCTGGGCACAGTCCACAGAATCTAGGCATTAAAGCAGAAAAGGGAGAAAGGAGAGGAGGTGATATGGAATAGAAGGTGTGAAGCCATTATGGAATAAACCATTTACTGTAGCTAAACATATAACAGCTTACCGTATGGAAAGTTTCTAAGATAAGGGCATGATTTCAGATGCCCCTCCCTACCCCCTTTCTTCTCGCATTTCACACCTTTACTTACCCACTCTCTGTCATGATTACTGTCATCTTCGTGTTGGCCTTGGGTGGCAAGTTGAAGCACCATTCAGTTACACCCTGAGAGAGACCAGTACCCTCGTTCAGAGAGGCTCCAAAGGCAGCCTTGCACACACTCAGGAATCTGCTGGTGATTATAGGACCTAGGAGCTTTCCAATTGGTGACATTTACTTCACCTTTTGTTTCTTGTCCTTTCCATGTGACCTGCTAGTGTTAGAGATGACTACCACTGACAGAAATACTAGATTGTTGGCCCTCCTTTCTCCTCTACCCATTCACTGTTTAAGATCTTCCTGAGTAGATTGATCGAGAGGGGACAAATCCAGTAACAGCAACATTGAATATAACATGCTGGCCCAAGGGAACTTAGTTGAATATATGTAAAACTTGGCCTCAGACTTTTAATGTTTTGAAACTTTGCTGCTAAAACATACTGTTGATAAAGTTATTTCAAAAGTGGTTTTTCTCTTAATTCTGTTTGACATGTAGGCCAAAAAAACTGACTCTAAAAGGTTACAAGCAATATTGGTGCACCTTTAAAGATACATCTATTTCTTGCTATAAGAGCAAAGAAGAATCCAGTGGCACACCAGCTCATCAGATGAACCTAAGAGGTAAGGAAGGCCTTGGAGTGACCAGTGTTGACGGAGAAACTTTCTGTTGGCTAACAGTCAATAAACTTCGCTTTGCAGGGTGGGGCAGGGGTGTGTTTCTCAGCAGATAACATTACTTCTTTATGGTACTTTTTTAGGTCTAGATTCTTTTTTTTGGTACATAGTTTTTGTCACAATTTTAAGCATTCCATTTCCCACAAATATTTCGTTGTAATCTCTTTGTACAGTCTTCATTTGAAGTGATTCCACTTTTCTTCTCGTCAAGTAAATCTGTGGTGCCTCTTTTCTCATCCTCAGCATTAGGTCATTCAGGTTTTCTTCATTCTCATCCGTGTTGTAGTCCTCTCCGTTTTTGCTGGCTTTTCCCTTCCTCATCAGCATCCTACTCTTCTTCCTGACTTTCACTGATGATAAGCTGGTCCCCCTCACGACCCCCAGTCTCTTTTTGGCTCCGCAGTGGGGCAGCAGGCACCTATGGGGTTTGGCCAACTTCTTAACCCTCCCACAACACCTCTTCCTGAACATTTTCGTTCGACACTCTGCTCTCAGTTTGGCTCCTGGGGTAGCCCCAGGATACCCCTCTGAGGCTCCTCCTCGTCAACAACCTGAATCTCTTTGGTTTCCTCTTGTCTCTTCAAATCCAAAGCTGTCACTAAGGGGCTGGTATTTGAGGCACATGTTATTGGACATGTTTCTACTCCCTTGTGGCAACCTTGTTTGCTGTGGCCTGAGTTGCTCCTGGCTGAGGACTCAGAGCTACTGGCTTTGGTCTTTTTTTTTCCATTTCACTCCCCACTTGGGTGACTTCTTTGGTTCTTCACACTGCTCCTTCACTTCTTTTATCTGACTGATGCAGTGGTTCAGGCAGAAGGAGAATTTCCTGTCCAGGTTGGTCTGGTTCTTCTACGGCTAGAGGACATCTTGCTGCCTCCTGCCTTGATTTTTCTGCAGGGTGTTGCAGATTGTTGATCACCACTTCACTTATGGGGATATTCACTAAAACCATTTGGCTCACTTCCAGCGAGAACTGCTCTCCTATGTGCCCATGCCACACTCCCTGCACCCTTGGCACCAGCATGCTTGGTGGATTGTCATCTCACTGTTCCACACTCTTACAGCAAAGGCTAGAAAACTAAAATACATTTTCTGGACTTGTTTGCAGTGAGATTTTTATTCCAATCAGATGCATTCATGGAAGACTTTAATTCCCAACTAAGTTATGGGGTTGGAGAGGCAGAATTGAGAAAGGAGCATGGTATTTCCAGGCTATGGAGCTGCGGGGTAGCCTCCTGGTTTCGCGGCCTGTTGGTTGCAGTTCCCTTGGCAGGCTAGTTGTTCAAGAAGTTCATTCCTATCGGCCCAACCCGTTTCTCCTCTGGGTTACGTTTTGCATGTACATTTATCCTTATATGTAAAGCAATATGCCTTTCTAACTAGAAATGTCCATATTTGGACAAAAGTACCCAAGAAGGGGGCCCCTGACTCATTCACAGAAATTATTCTCAAAATATTGTATTTATTGCTTAAAATATAAAGGTGTTTTCCCTGATCTATAGTCTTCATTTTCTTTTCTACATAGTGCATTAGGATATTTTTAGTATATTTCAATGAAATGTCCAAATCTCTGCTCTGTGTTCTGCTCACTAGTTATCTGAACTGTTGTTTTAAAAAAAGGAAACCCCTGGCCTGGGTAGCAGATTGCTTTGCCCATGTGTTAGAATACTGTAATTTTCCTAAAACTTTGAATTAGGCTAACTGCCTTTCTCTCCAAGACCCATGAGTTAACTTTTGGGTCTCTTTTGTTATTTGTTATTTTTAGAATCTGTTGCAGCTCTTGTTCTTGGTTCTGTCCTCAGCTGCCCAGGACCAGCCCAGATTATCTGCTCTTGATTTAGAGACTAGATCTGTCTTCTGGCCCCTGCTTTCTCTAACCCTGTTACATCCCTAACCTTCCCCCCTGCATGACTGAGAAGTCAAGTCCTAGTATGGAAAATGGCTTACAGTGTGCTGTCATCCTACCTTTTCCATGTCCTCCCAAAAGAGCATTTTCCCACACATCACACTAATGAAGATATCACTAGCCTAAAAATCAAGTGGCTTACTTCCTGTTCTGCTACTAAATAAGCCCTATGATTTTAGAAAAATAGCCCATTTGGACCTCAGTACCTTCCTCTAAGAAATGAGAGTGTTCTCCATGCCTTTGGACTTTGGACTAGATGTTCTCTAAGGCCTTTGGAGATCTAAAATGAAAAGTTCTAAAAACAAATTCAGTTCAAATACTGATTGAATTCCTGTGCCCCAGCTGTGCTAGATCCTGGAGACATGAGCAGGAACAGGTTACAGACCCACCCCTCTGGGTGTTTAGAGCGTTTGGGAGATATACAGTGACAATTTGGGCAATGAATAGTACTTTTTAAAAATTTTTTTTTTTTTTTTTTCAACGTTTATTTATTTTTGGGATAGAGAGTATATTATATATGAACGGGAGGGGCAGAGAGAGGACACAGAATCGGAACAGGCTCCAGGCTCTGAGCCATCAGCCCAGAGCCCTCACGCTGGGCTCGAATCCCACAGACTCAGCGAGATCGCGTGACCTGGCTGAAGTCGAACGCTTAACCAACTGCGCCACCCAGGCGCCCCATGGGCAATGAATAGTACTTTAAAAAGTAACAGGTCCAAGGAGGAGCAAAGATAAGGGTGTGTGCCGTCTCAGTGTTCAGCGATGATGGGGAATATCCTGGCAGAAATAATGCCAGAGTTAGATCCAGTGTCTAACTCAAGGCCCATGGAAGGAAGGAGAATTGGTAAAAACCTTGTGGCAGAGACTGGTATGCAGAAATTCCTGGAGAAAAGCATCAGCAACCACAGGGGGTTTTGTGCTGTTGGAATGTAGAGTTCAAGGCAGAGGATGAATGCTTCCTAGTGGCTATTGAATCTGATTTCTACATACATGAGGGACAACAGCTGAAGAAATCGGCATGTTTTGGAGGATAAAAATGTTAGGGATTGTTTTTTAAACTGGCAGCAATGAAGTGTCACTGAGAAAGTATTAACATGAAAATAACAGGATCCATCCTATTTATATTGGCTACAGTATAGAGGAATAATTTTAGAACAGTGACAGTGATCCAGATTAAGGTGATCAATATGGATGGAGAAAAGGGTTCAAGTTCAGATGATCCTGAGAAAGCCCAGTCAGCAAGCATCCTGAGTGATTGATTTGGGAGAGGCTCATGGGGAGGGACTTATTTCTAGCTCGTACAAGTTGGATGGATAGAGTTGAGAATATAGAAGAGCTTATTTCGGGGAGAAGGACAGTGAGTTTAATTTTGGGTTATTTTAAATTTGAGGTGCCTGTGGGATAGCTGTTGGAGGTAACTTGTAGGCCACTGGATCATGGGAGATCCACACTGCAGATACTGATGGTATCAGTTTTAGCATTAATGATAAATGGCAGCCATTAGAATGGTTGTCTATAATATGAAAAGGCTAAGAACAGAACCCTGCAGAATACCTGTGTTTGAGATACAGGGCAGATTAGAGGAAGGGAAACAAAAAATGCTTACGGAGACCATGGAAATGAGACGTGGTGGGAACTAAGATAAAAGTTGTTTCAAAAAGGACAGCGTAATCACTGGCATCCAATACTACAGAAAAGTAAGATAAAGATTGTGAAGCTGACATAGCGTTTAGCCACATTGGAGGTGGTTGGTGGCCTTGATGCCGAACAGATTGGAGCGGATTTCAGTGGCCCTTTGAGTATGGGAGCCAAAGTACAGTCACTGAGAAGTAAATAGGAAACAAAGCTAGTTTTTTGATGAACCTTACCTGTAATAAGGAGGGAGGAAAGAGGGCAGTAACAGCAGAGAGAGGTATAAGGTGGAGGAGAAAGGCGTTTTGTTTCAAGATTGGAGAGACTCAAGGAAGTGAAATGCTGATGGAAACATCACACTAGAAATAGAGAAGTAGTGTGTGGGAGAGGAAGAGGATCTCTGTGATGGAGCAAGGTTCCTGGGATGGCAGAAAACAGCCCACTTGGGATCAGAGAGATGCCATCCCACTGTGGGAGTGAGGGCAGCAAGCTTTATCGGCTGTGGTGGTAGGAAGCTGTGTGACTACTTCTCATGGCTTTCTTGGAAAAAAGATATGAAGTTGTCCCCTAAGAGTGAGCGGCATCGGAGGCCTGAGAAGATTTGAGATAAACATTGTTGAGAGTGTCTGAAAACACAGGATGCAAGTGTTGAGGGCCAGGTAGAGTTTGGGAATCCATGAATTTCTGGTGAAACCTATCTGCTTGGTTTTGTGGTTTTTCTCCCCCTCCCCTCCTTAGAGTGCTCAGCAGCCTATTATAGGCAAGTAAAAGCGAGGTGGTTGGATGGAGCCAGGGTTAAGGTCTTGGTTAATGTGTATTAATGGAAATACGGTGAGTCTAGGGAGTTGGATGTGATAGCTGGTGAATGGTGTCCAGGCTGGACTCAGGAAAAGGAAGAAGTGAAAACATGATGGAGAGAAGGTGTCAGGGCTGCAGGACTCAGAGAGTTTGAAGACTGCGGTTAGAACGTGTCAGAGGAGCAGCAATTGGGCTACAGTGAAGCGTGGCACGTTGCCATGGTCGTAGGTACCCGAGGTGGCACGGAGTGAATATTGTCTGAGATGTGTGGCCTGACAGGTGCCTCTGCGCCTACAGTAGCACCTGAGTTACCACTCACTATGCCTCGCCAAGCTTTTTAGGTTTTTTTGGTGTTTTACTTTTAAAAGAGACATGATTATAGGATTGTGTACTTTTAAGTCTGCTTCAGTGAGTAATGAAATCTGCAAAAGAACTATCTTCAAACATCTCCTCTTTGTGTTACCTTTGCAGATTAAATGCAAACTTCCTGATAGTTTGTAATCCTTGTACAGAAAGAGGTAAATGCTGTAGCTAATATTTTTTAAAAGAAAGCAAACAGGGAGAAAGTCCACTAAATTCATGATAGGTGTTTCTGGAAAGGAGAAGAGGCTCTTCCATTTATCTAAAATGTTCTGTTTCTTGGGGCGCCTGGGTGACTCAGTCGTTTTAGCGTCTGACTCTGGATTTCAGGTCATGATCTCACGGTTCACGGGATCGAGCCACCGTCCGGCTCGACAGTTGGGCTCTGCGCTAACAGTGTGGAGCCCGCTTGAGATTCTCTCTGCCCCTCCCCTGCATGCGTGTGCGGTGCCCACTCCCTCTTATCAGAGTGCATAAACATTTAAAAAAGTACAATATTCTGTTGTTTTCAATACAGTGCTTTGTATTTGTTCTTTCTTTGTGGTAGATGTAGAGAGCTTTATCTTGTTCCTTATACTCTCCGTACAGAGAGATGTTGCTCCGGTACACAGAGCAAAGTGACCACAGGCCCTGCTAACAGTCTAGGAGCCTACTTGATGGTCTTAAGACACATTGAGGGTGATAACTGGAATACCGTTTAGAAAGCTCTGACATGTCTGTTACCTTCTTTATCCTTACAGCATTCCTGTGAGGTAGAGTTTTAAGGTTGGGAAATTTGGGTTTAGAGATGTTCCACAAATGGGCAGTAATTAAGTGACAGAGAAGTGTGGAACAAGGTCAGATTGCAGGGTGCCTCTCCACTATGTTGCACTGGTTACTACTTGTTTATGCCAGCCATTATCCCGCTATCTAACTGAGTGTATGTTCAGCCCACCTGTGTGCCCTTCTGTAAAGCTGCTAGCTAATGCTTCACAGAAAAGGCATCATAAAAGTCCTTTATTCTTGGGGCTTCTGGCCAGTAGAGCAGGCAACTCTTGATCTCAGGGCCATGAGTTCAAGCCCCACAGTGGGCAGAGAGGTTACTTTTATAAAGTCGCTTATTCTTACCAAAATGTTATCCCTATACATTTAGCAACTTAAAAGTCCCAAATACCTTGAGATTTAAGGAACTGAATGATACTAAAACAGCACAATATCAAACTTGTGGGGTCGTGTTTTTTGGTAATATTCTTTTAACAGGACCCTTTCCTTCTCTTCAATGAAGTTTTATGAGGACCACAAACTGCATTATACCCCTTTTCTACACTAGGTCTCTTTTGCTCCACCTCAAACAATTATTGGGTGATAAAACCTTGCTTCCCAGTTTAAAGATTCCAAAACAGCAAAATTCAGCATGTTAAGATACCATAAAATGAGAGCTACCTATAGCGGCTTGTGATTTCTTAAAGGTAAATTTGACCATTTTAATAATTTTTTTATTACAGGATGTGAAGTTACCCCAGATGTAAACATTTCAGGCCAAAAATTTAACATTAAACTCCTGATTCCAGTTGCAGAGGGCATGAATGAAATCTGGCTTCGTTGTGACAATGTAAGTTTTCCAATTAAAAGTGTGAACTTCAGTTTTCTTCAGTTCTCTAGTAAGTTGACCAGTCGTCCTTACATTTTATACTTAAAGGACCCATCATGTGATACATTTCATATTTCAGTATTTCTTTTCAACAGGAAAAACAGTATGCACACTGGATGGCAGCCTGCAGATTAGCCTCCAAAGGCAAGACCATGGCAGACAGTTCTTACAACTTAGAAGTTCAAAATATTCTTTCCTTCCTGAAGATGCAGCATTTAAACCCAGATCCTCAGTTAATACCAGAGCAGATCACAACTGATATAAATCCTGAATGTTTGGTGTCCCCTCGCTATCTAAAAAAGTACAAGAACAAGCAGGTATTTGATTCATTTCATTTCATCTCTTTTCTTCTCGTATGATTTTGTACATGTACTGTAAATTTAGTTTCCCCTGTTAAAACTTTGTGGCTTTAATGATGGTCTGAATTTCATATCAGGTGGCTGGAATATAAAATAGGATGTGGATGGCCTTCAGTCAGTTAAGTTATTTTAAAAAATGTTTATCATTTTAATAGGACAGATCATAAGGTAAAATAGTAGGAAGCATATTTATTCTAAACAACCTAAGGAAACCGCTCTGTTAACAGGGTGTTCTTTCAGGGAATTGAAATGGTGTGGATGCTTTGAATTCCTTAATTCATGCAGTTTTATTCCTTATATATGTGTGGTATAAAGCACAGCCAGCATTTCCCGGCAAAGTCTAGAACAACTTCTCACTGTCAAAATGGACTTTTCCAGCTTTGGAGATAAACTTTACAATGGTAGAAATAGTCTACATTTTAACATCGTCTTTTCTTAACAGTCAAAAACCTAAACCAAGATTTGCGTGATGTGACAGAGTTTGGTAAATTTTGATTGAAATTCACTGCTTTTGTTCACTTTGTTTAGAATTCCTTTCCTGGAAATTAATACCGTAAAAGGATTGCTGTTTAGGAAAATGGTTCTTCAGTACAACATAAAAGGTTCTTTGCAGGGGAATTTCATTTGGGATAGCCCCCAGTATTCTCTACACCAAACATCATGCCATAAAAGGCAAAGGCTTCAGTGTGAGGTGGGGTGAAGAAGGCCTTTAAAATAAATATTTCATTTCTATCTAGTTTGATTTTTATCTGTTAAAGAATAATTTTAAAACATTACTGGGAGGGCCCAATAAAATACCCAGAACACTTACTAATTCTTAACTTTAAATATAATGTTTATCATATGTGTTTGAAATTACTTAGCTGGAAATGTTCAGAAGGTTAATTACCAAGTATTTGTCTTTAAGTTTCAGAGGTTGTGTAAGCTACATGGAAATTGTTTATCCCACAGTCCCTACAATGTGGGAGTAGTGAGGAATGGAGGAAATGCTGCCCTGGGGAGATTTGTGGAATGTAGATTGTAAGTTAAAAAGGGAAAGTGAATCAAGTACTAATTTTATTTTTTTATTCTTCGTTGTTTCATTTAAAAATTACTTGTAAAAAAATCCTTGTTTCTGAAAGTGGATTCATTTGCCTTCAAAGGCAAGGAACAGTTTCAAATCTTAGCAAGATTCTTTCACTGTGAGGTACCAGGAAAAAAAGGTCTTCAAGTCTAACTGTGAAGACTGACAAATGTTAGCTTAGCTGTCGGAGATGGGTACTGAATTGTTTTCTCAGAAGCCTCTCAAATGATTGTTTTCACTTTTAAAAGATAGTTTTCCAACCCTGATTTCTCAACTAGATTGTCAAGTGAAAATTCTCTGGGGGACAGAAACAGTGACTATTTGTCTTCAACTGGTGAGGTGGCAGTATGTGTGGTCCGTGGTTAAGGATTCTTCCAGCCTTGTCTTCCACATTGGCATTTTATCAAACACACATTCTTTTGTAATCCTTCTTTCCCTGACTAAATTTATGGGTTGTTCCCAGAAGGTAGAGAGCATGTATTGCCCTGACACCTAGAAAGTGCTGATTGGCAGAAGGTTAGTTACTTATTGTGTGTCACATGCTGTACTCGTCGTTGGACATAGGGCTTAATAGTTAAACTATATAGTACAGTGGTGTTCAGGAGTCCAGTAGGATGAGGTCCGGGCCATAGGGTCCTTTATTCCTATCAGGGCATAAGATTTTCCTTTGGGCCCACCAATACAGAGAATTTGTTACATTTAATCTACTTTAAATCCCCAAAACTGTATATTATTTAAAGTTGCTATATATATATATATATATATATATATATATATATATATATATATATATATCTCCATATCCTTATATGACTGTGACTCCCAAACTGCATTTTTACATTTTAAAGAAAAGAGTTGTTGGGTATTTTATCCATGTTAATACAAATTGAAATAGACTACTGTGTGTATAGCCACCATTCCTAGTGTAGTATATAGCATCTCTTCATTTTCCCTTCCAGGAAAAAGGATGCAAAAAACAGATGGTAATTGAGGGGGGTTGCTTTTCTTGTGTAAATAAAGAAACAGTATGGTCACTGCACTTATTTTATGCCTTCAACTTATTTCTGAAAAGTGGTGCATGGGTCATATTATCTGACTCAATCTGAAAACATTAAAGGTTTTTGAATGTTAATTTTGATTTCCTACTAAAATCATTAGCTCTGCCCTAACCAGTAAGAACTGGTAAGTAAATGAGCAGGGAAAAGGGTATTTGCTCTTTTTTATTTTTTTCCCTACAAATTTCTACCCATAATTTTAGTAACACTTAACAATCTAAAATAATATGGAAGTGTTGTTCTCAGTATTCAAAGTGGAAAGTAATCGCTGCTTTCTCGTTTTCATTTTCATGCTTGCATTTACTTTGCTTGGTTTCTACCTGAAGTAATTTTTTTTGCATGGTTTTTGGCTGGAATTTTGGTTTGCAGGTTACCGCAACTTTTTCTTTGCTTCATTGCCATTTTTTCTGATTGCCTTTTTTTTTCTTTCTGCTTCCTTTTTCTTTCCTCGCATTGCCATCTACAGCCAGGCTATATAAGAGATTTGGTAAGTTCTCCATATTTAAAAAAGAAAAGGAAAGAAAATAAATACATAAAATATTTAAAGCCCTAGCTACAGTTCCCCCACCCCACCCCCCCACCCCATCGCCTTCATGGATTTCCACTCTTTGTGGGAGTAGTCATCCCAAAGTGAGTATAATTTAAGTTAAAAGTTAACTTTCCTAATGATACCTTTAGAAATTAAAAAAATCTTTATGGTGGTTTCAAGTATTAAAGGTGCTAATAAATAGTCCACTACGAATTTATATTGCAGGTACTCATTCTGATATTGTGTTTTGGTGCTAAATTTAAAACCTGTCATGTACAGGATTAGAACATACCGTTTTATAAAAGCAAAATATGTGTGTGTCCTTGGAATATGTTTTGGGAGTGGCAGTTATTACTCCTGAAAGTACTTTTTGTTTCTGGATATATGGAAACTGAAATCAAAAAGAAATACATCAAGGTTTATTTTGAAGAGTCATTATTTAACTAAAATTCCTAAATGTGGCTTCAGAAATTTCCTAATTCCAACTCTTAGAGGTAATTGTGGGGTGGGGCACAGTTGGTTACTTTTGTTTTGCTCCTGCAATGAAAGAATATTGTCTGATGGTAAAGGTGATGTTTAATCATGTTTAGATAACAGCAAGAATCTTGGAGGCCCATCAGAATGTAGCTCAGATGAGTCTAATTGAAGCCAAGATGAGATTTATTCAAGCATGGCAGTCATTACCAGAATTTGGCATCACGCACTTTATTGCAAGGTCAGTGGTTCTGCTACTAAACATCTATGTATAAATCTTAATGTGTACGTTTTTACTTAATCTATTTCAATTAAACATTTAAAGTACCTGCTGAGATCCATTAAGCAATTTTACAGTAAAGAATATCGAAATGTATTTTCTATTCTTGTAATTTTTACTTTAAAAATTCAAAATGATTGGGCTGCCTGGGTGGCTCAGTCAGTTGAGTGTCTAGCTCTTAATTTCGGCTCAGGTCATGATCCCAGGGTTATGGGATCAAGCCCGGCATCGGGCTTCACGCTCAGCATGAATCCTGCTTAAGATTTTCTCTCCCTCTGCCCCTCGCCCCCACTTGTGCATTCTCTCTCTCCCCCCAAAAAACTCAAAATGGTAGCATTTCTATTTTTACTTATATAAGAATATCACTTTTTTGAGAGTTAAAGAGCACATCTTAAAAACAGGGGCTCAGTTGGTTAAGCATTCAACTTTGACTCAGGTCATGATCTCACAGTTTGTGAGTTTGAGTCCTGCATCGGGTGAGCCCCACTTCTCTTTTTCTGCCCCTCGCTTCACTTGCACCCTCTATTAAAAAAAAAAAAAACCAGAGCAACATTCCTCCCACCCCCAACGTGTTTTTAAACATTTATTATGTTTTAATACTATAGGTTCCAAGGAGGAAAAAAAGAAGAACTTATTGGAATTGCATATAACAGACTGATTAGGATGGATGCCAGCACAGGAGACGCAATTAAAACATGGCGTTTCAGTAACATGAAACAGTGGAATGTGAACTGGGAAATAAAAATGGTAAGCTAGGGGTGGGCACCTGGGTGGTTCAGTCAGTTAAAGCATCCGACTCATGGTTTTGGCCCAGGTCATGATCTCAAGGTTTGTAAGACGTAGGTCCTGTATTGGGTTCTGCAGTGTTAGCTCACAGTCTGCTTGGGATTCACTCTCTCCCTTCCTGCCCCTACCCTGCTCATGCGAACACTCTCAAAATAAATAAATAAATGGCAAGCTATAACAATGTTACTTGAATTAATATATAGCCCTTCTGGGGCACCTGGGTGGCTCAGTCAGTTAAGTGTCTGACTTCGGTTTAGGTCATGATCTCACAGTTCACAAGTTCAAGCCCCACGTTGGGCTCTGTGCTGACAGCTCAGAGCCTGGAGCCTGCTTCAGATTCTGTGGCCCCCTCTCTCTCTGCCCCTTGCTCTCAAAAATGAATAAACTTCAAGAAAAAAAATTTTTAAATATATATATAGCCCTTCTAAAACTTTAAGAATTAAAAGACCTATAAATTCTATAGATTGTTTGTACCATTACCTCTTAAAGTAAAGTATAAAACATGGTTGGTTATTCATTTCCCACTTAAACTTGCCTAGTTCATAACTAGCCCAGTTATTAGAACTCTAAGAATATAATGATCTGCTTAGAAGATTGTTTTCCTGTAATGCTAAATCCCTTTCACTCCTAGTAGCAGCTGCTGTTTATTGAATGCCTACTCTGTGCCAGTCATGATGCTAGATGTTTTTGTATTTCTAAATCTCACCACAGCCTTGTGCGGGATAGTTGGATTGTCCCTACTTTACAAATGAGGACACTCACATGTAGAGGCCTGTGGGCCATGATTGCTATGACCACACAGTCACAGAATCAGGATTCAAAGTCAGATGCTCAGGGGCTCTAAAACCTGGCACAGCTACTACTGTATATCATGCTGCCCCCAGACTTGAAGTACATAAATATCATTTAAACAATCTTCTACTGATAAGCTGTGTGTTTTAGGGACATTGGGTTTGTTGTAGCACTTCCTATTACTGCATCGAATAATAGGTTACTTTTCTGTGGTTAACCTTGATCCAGAAGCAGATAACCCATCCTCCTCCTGATATATTGTAGGAGCCTAACACTATGTCACAGCACCTATGTCATTTACCTTCATCGCGTCATATAGGCATCTTGTCATTTCTCATTATCACAGGGTCGAGTACAGTACAGTAAGGTATGTTGAGAGAGAGACCATGTTCCCATAACTTGGTTATAGTATATTGTTATAATTCTGTTATTGTTAATCTCTTACAGTATCTAACTTACAAATTAAACTTTATCATAGGTATATCTGTAAAGGAAAGAAAAGCATAGTGTATGTAGGGTTCAGTACTATCCATGGTTTCAGGCATCCACTTAGGGTCCTGAAATATATTCCCCATGGATAAGAGGGGTTGTTACTGTATTCAAACATGATACCTAAAGGTTAAGTATCTGAAGCAAATATTAAATTAAATGCAGGAAGTAGGTTTTCTTTCAGGCCTTGAAGAGAGACATTCTCATTAATTGAATCACCAGAGACCATTTGGGAACATAATGACCTAAACCCTTTGCATTCAGTCTTCCTTTTCAGAACATGAAAACTAAAAAGGAGTCAGGGAGGGGCTAGTCAACTTGTATTCTTTTGGAACTGAAGGCATTATTAGTTTAGGATTAAAAAAAAAATTGAGGGTCGACAAATAGTCTTGTGATAGGGCAGACATTAAACAGCACAGTAGCGTCACTTGTGCCTTACCTTATGTGGAGTTTTACTGAGACTGACAGTTCTTTGTCTTTGTTCCAGGTCACGGTAGAGTTTGCAGATGAAGTACGATTGTCCTTCATATGTACCGAAGTAGATTGCAAAGTGGTTCACGAATTCATTGGTGGCTACATATTTCTCTCAACGCGTGCGAAAGACCAAAATGAGAGTTTAGATGAAGAGATGTTCTACAAACTTACCAGTGGCTGGGTGTGAACAGAAATATTGTGTAATGAAACTCCATGGCCATAACAATATTTAACTTTGAAAGCTGTTGTTTGTTATATGCTGCTTAATAAAGTAAGCTTGAAATTTATCATTTTATCATGAAAACTTTTTTGCCTTACCAGACCAGTTAATATGTGCACTAACAAGCACGACTATTAATCTGCTATCATGATACAATATATGGACATGAATATGGCACACATTCCTTAGGGCCAGGAATTGAAAACGAAAGTAGTGGGCAAGTCAGGAACAAAACATCACTGATTTAAGCTAGCCAAACTAAGAAACTCAAGCCATCTACTTTAAAGCTATCCAGGGCTTAAACTATATGAAGTCTATTTATCATGTTTAATGCATGTGTTTTAATGTATGTTTAATTTGATCATGTGTTTTAAAAATGCCTACTTTCTGGTAGCTATTGATTCCCCATCCCTCACTCCCATCCCCAAATAAATCGGGCCTGTGGAGGATGCCTGATATTCAATAATGTTATTGTTTGACCTTGAAGGAAAATGCTATCGGTCCCTTATGCTTGGTTTATTTTTGTCCTTGAATAAGCATGTATGTATATTGTCTTGTGTTTTGACTTTCACACCCTGTTGTATTACAACACTTTTAGTATTCACCAGCATATTCACTGTCTGCCTAAAATAATGCAACTTTTGCATTACAATATGAAGTAAAGGTCTATGAAGTATGCATTTTGTGTAACTAATGTACAAACACAAATTTTATAAATTGTACAGTTTTTTAAAAAACTCACAACTAGCAAATGTCTTAGATGTAGCATCTTTGCATTAATTAAATGCTTTTAAAAATATAATTAATGTGCAGTTTTCATATCTGCTAAATTAAGAATGACTTCATTATAGTCATGATTTGCCACAATGTCCTTAACTCTAATGCCTGGACTGGCCATGTTCTTGTCTTTTGCGCTGTTACAGTCGGCATTGGTGCTATAGTCAAAATTCCTAGGTCACATAACCCAAGAGGGGGCCGGGAGGGGTGGATTACCAGTATTGTCCAATAATCCATGGTTTAAAGAAAGACTGTATAAATGCATTTTATTTTAAATAAAAGCAAGATCTTTTATTTATGTTTCTTTTTGTACTTTGTATTTTTACTGTTTCCATAGCATTAACCGTAGAAATGAACTCTTGCCTTTGGGAAGAACTTTGCCTACATCTTGTGTTAGGAGAACAACTTGCTGGTATCCAGAGTATCACCAGATAGTTGATACTTAATCTCTAGGATAGATTCTTCCACCCCATTTTTTGTTCTACTACTTAAAAATGAACCTCATAATATTTAAATATTAGATTGTATAAACAGAAATATGACAAATGAACAGACATTGTTGCCTCGGGCAGAATTTGTTTTAAACGGCAAAATAACTCCTGGTCTAAAAGACCACAACTCACATGTATGAATCTGCTCCCTGGTGTTAATGCTAATTATTCAGATGCAAAACTTCAGTCCTGGACTTTTTCCCTTTATCTGTTGCATTTAATCAGGCCAAGTCTGGTTGGTTTTTCCCTCAGGCAATCTTTTGTCACTGCTATCATGGACACCTGAATTCAGGTCTTTGTCCTGGGCCTGCCAGGATGCCATGGCCTCTAGAAGCAAAGCTCCTATCACCTTCTCCATGGGTTTTCTTTGTACTCTAAGGCCAGGTCATAACAATCCTTGTTCCAAATATAAGGGCTTCTTCCCATTAAAACAACATTTAAATAATGTATCTCCTTTTCTCATCTTAAATACAGGTCACCAACTTGTATAGTCACTTGGTAAAAGCCCTGAAGTAGATTTAGACGAAGGCATACTCAAGTCCCTTAGAGTCTTAAGGCCTCTGTACAAGTGAGAATAGCCTCTCTCCTGATGGCTGATTTTTCGGTCTCTCGGTTTTGCCCCACTTGCCATACTGGCAATTTTGACATTAATTCCGTCCCAGCACAGCACTGGCTACATGCCACCCTGATGACCTTGGTTGATTACAGTATAACAGCCAAAGTCCCCAGGCAGGTGCTAAGAGGTCTCCTATGGTCTGTATCCCAGCCCGCATCTTTCTCATCTTCCAACAGCCTTCATCCCAAATTGGGTGGCCCACGTTCTCTGGACACACTTTACACTCGCCCATCTCTATGATGTTCCACAGACTTTCTTCCAGTCTCCCACCTGTTGAGATCCCATCTTTCTGGGGTTTTAGAAATTTTAGAAAGAGCTCCAGGGTTCTCTCTTCCATAAACACTTCTAAGTTTCCTTGCAGCCAAAAATTTTCTTACTCGTGAACAGCCACTAAATTTGGTCCTTTTTGGAACTTAAGAGCAATCATCATTATTATTGCCCATAATAATAAGCTACTCCCTTAAGGACTGGGTCTGAGCCTCATTGTTTCTACCTAGGATCAGTTAACACATATTTGTTCATTGAATATAATGATGGCTATTTTGGAAATCAAGGAATTAATACAACTTCGAATTCTTACAGCATCAGCATGATTCAGTATGAAGGAAACAAACATAGTTCTTGCACACCAGTTACATGTGAGGAGACATGCTAAATACTTCCAAATACACAGTCTCTTCTAAAGAATCATACAACCCATCCTCATTTTCTAGATGAGAGGCCAAGTGACCTGTTCACAGTCTCCCAGCTATAATTAATTAGTGCGAAGGCAGAGCTAGAAGTGGGACCCAGATTTCCTTCCTACCCAGTAAACACTTCACAGATCTTGAGGAACTCCATTGGTAGTAGTCCCACTACAGAAATGACATCAGTCCATGAAAAGAACACTGGCCAGGGTTTCCAGAGACATAGTTTTAGGTTTCTGCTGTGTGGCTCAGTTTCATGTAAACATGAAGGCACTGGGGACAGGAGAACTACGAAGCTCTCTTCCAACTCTATTTCTCCTAAATCAGCAAGTTAGAGACCTGCCGATGATGTAGTTAATCAGTAATTTTAACTTGGTACAGATTATTTTTTACATAACCTTGAACTTCAAAGGTCAGGGACGTAGAGACATGAACTTAGTTTTTTCAGCTTTACCAAGGTAAAGCTGACAGAACTGTAAGGTATTTAAAGTGGACATGTGGTGATTTGATATATATATATACACATGATGAAAGGATGGTCATTAATTAACACATTACCAGAGACACCAACTAGAGACACAAACTTTGTAGAAGGAAAGTCTCTTGGCGGTTCCGCTCTTAGACAAAAAAGCAACGTTGTGGCAAATTGTACGTTTTTATGTTTAACATGGTTTTTGTTCTTTTTTTTTTATGTTAAAAGACTTTACAAATCAAAACCACAATGAGATACCACCTCACACCTGTCAGAATGGCTAGATTCAAAAATACAAGAAACAAGTGTTGGTGAGGATATGGAGAAAAAGGAACTCTCGCGCACTATTGGTGGGAATGCAAACTAGCGCAGCTGCTGTGGAAAACCATATGGAGGTTCCTCCAAAATTTTAAAATAGAAATCCCATATGATCCAGTAATTCCACTACTGGGTACTTACCCAAAGAAAATAAAAACAATATTCTAAAACAATTTTGACCTTTATGTTTATTGCATCATTACTTACAATAGCCAAGCTGTGGAAGCAACCAAAGTGTCCATCCATAGATGAATGGATGAGGGACATGCAGTAGACACACACACACACACACACACACACACACACACACACACACAGGAGTATCACTGAGCCATAAAAAGGGATGACATCTTGGCTTTTGCGACAGCATGGACGGACCTACAGAGTATAATGCTAAATGAAGTCAGAGAAAGACAAATACCATATGATTTCACTCACATGTGGACTCTAAAAAACAAAGGAAATGAATAAACAAGCAGAAACAGACCCATAAATACAGAGAACAGACTGATGGCTGCCAGAGGGGAGGTGGGTGAGGGATGGGCAAAATGGGTGAAGGAGAGTAGCAGAGACAGGCTTCCAGTTATGCAGTGAGACACGAGGATAAAGGGTGTGGCATAGGGACTACAGTCGGTGGTACCGAAACAGCACTGCATGGTGACAGCAGCTACACTGTGGTGAGCACAGCATAATGGATAGACTTGCCAAGTCACCGTGTTGTACACCTGAAGCTAAGACAGCATCGTGTGTCAACCACACTTAAAAAAAAAAAAAAAAAAAAAAAAAAAAAAAAGCCTTATTAAGGTGCTTTTAATTCATTACCAGTTGCTGATGTGATGGGATCAGACCAACCTGGGTTTCTGACCTTTAATTTATCTGGAAGAAATCCCACACACAGTTAAAGACAAATGTTTAAAGTACTCAACACTGTACCTACACTGATTATAGTACTTTCCCAGTGAAATGTTAGGTTTTGTAACGCAAAATTGGTTCTGATCCTCTAAGACTCAGTCCTATCCCATACCTTTCATAACCGTTTCTACCCTATAGACTTTTGACAAGGTCTGCTGCTGGTTTTAGACTAATCACTTAAAACGTGGTAACATCTTCACTGCTTTGAGAATTCCTAAGAGAACAGTGCTTTCTGAATTCAGCCCTTTGTGACAGCATCATCACTAATCCTTACTGAAGCCTTTCCTGCACGCATAACGCTGCTAACTGCCATCCGTTCTCTGCTTTGTTCCAAAAAAAAAAAAAAAAAAAAAAAAATCCTGTCACACCCACCTCCCCAAACGTTTGTGCAGCTATTGCAGCCATTCCCTCTTTTTGTGGCTCTCCGGCACTGCTGTGGCAAGGACGAGTTGTGCCGTGTGGGCACAGACCTAAGAGACGTGGTACGATAATAATTCGGTCAATTCTTAATCTGCTGATAAAGGTCCAGTCATCTCTACACAGTAATATCCAGGAAGAAGTTGTTTACCGAAAGCTCCGGGCTCTTCAACAAATTAACTGCGTCTTCATCTCTTTGAACGGCTTCGATTTGGCAGCTCAAGAATGGGGGAGGTGGTAGAGAGTGACAGGAAATGGGAAATTTTCAATCTGAGTAA